CAATTTGCTTACAATTTCCGTAGAAGATGGATTCTTCATAGCGTTCTTGTAAAACTTTCTTATGTTTCTCATATAAATCCAAAAATTCTTGCCAATTATGATTTAATTCTGTTAATTTTGTTTTCAATTGTTGATCTTCATTCTCGTCGTCAAGATAAGGAAGCGATTTTTCGTTAATATCACTAGCAAGTTGAACATGACTTTCAATTTCAGCTTGTAAATCCTCGTGTACTTTAATGGCCATTTCAGCATCAGCAGCTTTAAGCGGTACATGGTCAGATTGGTGATCAATTTCTTGAAGAGCTTTGCTAATCCAGTCTAGAAAATCTTCTATATCAATGAGTAGCCTTTGATAGTCACTGCAATCTCCAATGATAGCGCATTGTCGATCAATTCGATCACTTAAGTCATCCCATTGGGATTGTAAATTTTGCAACTTTTCATCTAATTGGCATCGATCATCTTCCTCTAGATCAGGTAATTCATTGTAGTTATCCAGAATAGCTGTCATCCTTTCTTTAGCAGCAGCTGAATCGCGTTCAACAGCATTTAATTCACTTTGCAATTTTAATGTTGCATCACTATCTGTAGTAGCAGGTACATTTTCACGCAATCGAGCTGTAATGACTGTAATCCAAGTCGTGGTAGAATCAATGTCGAAACATAATTTTAAAAAGCCAATTTTGCAATGCAAGCAATCCACTTTTTCCTTCAAAATAGTATGTGCTCCATTCCAAGTTTCATTGCAATTATCTCGCATGGCTTCAATTTCATCTAAATTATACTCTAGGCTTTCCAATAGTTCTTCACTTTGCTCTTGTACATGATGATAGCGATCGGCATTTTTATCCAGGTCTGCTTGTATTCCTTCCAATCTTTTCATCATTATTTCAGCTTCATTTAATTCATTGGGTAAAGTTATGGATTTCAAGATCACAATTTTATCATTAGCTAAAGATACCACTGTATCGACATCACTGAGAAACGCGAAAAATTGCTGTAAACTCATTAAACGATGATGACGCTTTTGCACTAGCTCTAATAACTGTTGGTAATTCTTTTTAATGGTAAATAGACGCACGACAACATCATCAGAAGCTTTATCACTTTCAGCTAAATCTTCTGCTGAAGCTTCCAAGGTTTCAATTTGAGATTGGTAAGCTTTAATTTCTTCTTGTAAATTTTGATGTGTTTTAAGAATAGACCGCAAACCACTGTCCTCATTACAGTGAACATCGACTGACATTAAACTACTGTGCAGCGTTATCCATGACTCAATCATACTAGCTTCCAGAAGAAATTGTCCAAGCGCTTCTATTTCTGTAATACGTTTCGATCGGATTGCAACGGATTCTTTTAGATTGGACCATAAAGTCTGTAATTCATCCATGTTAGCTAGGACTTCTTCAGCGTTTTCATTTCGAGTTGCTAATATTTCTTGACCATTATCTAAAATTTGCTCTAGTACAGCTTCATGACCATCAATATCAGATGCAATAGCTCGATGACGGCGTG